AATATGAAAGTTATATACCTCAAATTACAACAGAATTGAATAAACCAAACCGAAATACAATAGTTATAGTAGATGGTAAAGATAAATTTCTGAACATTAAAAATTCAAAACTTTATTTATCATTTGAATATGTACAAGAAGATGGTTCTAAATATCCAGCAAAATCTAATGTTATGATATCTGATAATGGTGGAGCATTTTTGTTTCAAAAAATTACAATTAAATTAAATAATAAAATTATAGATGAAAGTGATAATACTGGAAGATTAAGTACAGTAAAAGGTTATATGAGTTATGCTGTTGATGGAAATGGTCCTACACAAAATTCAGGATTTGAATCTACATCTCAAGGGGGAGGAAGTGTCGAGCTCATCATTCCTTTATCACACTTTGGTTTAGGATCAATGAAAGATATAAAAAGTCCTCTTTACAATGCTAGATTTGAAATAATTTTTACGAGAAACACTGATGATGATGCGTTGATTCTAGAAACAAACACTGAAGCTACAGCAGATACAAAAAATATTAAAGCAAAACGTGGTAAAATTAATATTTTAGAATTAAAAGTTCAAATGCAAAATATAGAATATGATGAAATAACAAAAATTCAAATAGTTGATGCATTAATTAAGAATCCATGTATTTTAGCTTTTAAAAATGGCAAAATATTGAAGTAAGAAATCTTACTGGAAAAAAGATAAGATTTGATGTAACAAATAATTATCGAAATAATAGACATCCATTGTTTGGTGTTGTTTATTTTCAAAAAAACAGATTAGACAATCAAGAAAGTAATGCTTGTTATTTTGATCATTGTGATGTTGTAAATTATTCTTTTGAAGTAAATGGAAAAAAATATCCTAATGAATTACAAAATCAAGATTTTAATGATATAAAATGTTGTCAATCATATGAAGATCATATGAGTTATAAAAAAACCTATTATAAATCACATGAAGAAAATCCATTAATGTATTTAGATAAATTACAATTTAGACAAAAGAGACCATTTTTTGTTGTTAACATGACTAGACACCCTAATCAAATTGCAATCTCCAACTGTACAGTAATTTTAAACTTAGATTTCAGTCAAAATTTACCTGATAAAACAATTTGTTATATTTGTTTAATTTCTAGTGCAGCGTATACGTTTGATATTGAAAGAGGAATAGTTGATGAAAGCTATTAAATATATTAAAATTAATTAAAAAATCGTTCCCTACTTTAATTTTTCAAGATATTTTATCTTGAAAAAAAAGTTTTTAATATTTATTTTTTTATTAGATCAAGAACACCAATAAATTCTTCATCAAAATTAACAATAATACCTTTCAAATCTAAAATATAAATTTCTATTTTTTGAAACTGATTTTTACTCACTGGTCTATATATCATTTTATGAGGTTTAATCAAAGCACTATTAGAATTATATTGAAATAAAAATAAAACTTCATCATAATGAGATACCGCATCAATATTATGTGTAATAGATTCTTCAATTATATTACAATGTACTTCTAATATTTTGTTGTTATTATTTAATGATGAATTTTCTCCATGATGTGTATGTATCCCTCCTAAACTTAAATTTAAATCTTTATCAAATGAAAAATAATCTTTTGTTGTTATTTTAATGTAATCGCCATTATTTTCAAACTTCATAATCGAATTGAATAAACTATTTAAATGTTCAATTGAATAATTTCCTTTTAATTCTATTTTACTATTTTCATTAGAAATAATACCATTTATTTCTTTTAAGAAACCTTGAGTGTAAAATATTGGAGTTTTTATTCCTATTACCGTATAAGCAATATCTGGTGTTGTATACTCAACACCTAATTCTATTTCTTTCCCTTTAGGCCATGTTTTATTAATAGGGATCAGACGTTTTATAAAATTAAAGCCTAAACAATTTGATAAATATTCATCAAAACACAGACCAATTGAAGCAGTTATTTTTAATAAATTTTTATTTATTTCAAGATTTATTTTAGGAAAATTTTCCACAAATTTAGTTCCGAATGAATTAAATAAATTTTCAATTTCACCTATTGAATAAATACCAATAAATATTGTACCTAGTGGGATTTGACCATTTCGACCTAATCTAAATTCACATTCTTTTTCAATATTTATGTAATATTCACCATCAATAGGATAGTACATTTTTTTCTCACTTGTCGAAAAATCTATATTATCATTAAAACCTAAATATTTTTTTAATTTTTCATCTAATTTATAATAACAAGGAGATTTAATTGTAATTCTATTAGTTTCATCAGAAAATGATATAATAAGTGGTTCTATTTCTTTGTTCAATTGTTCAATACTATATCTACCTGTTTTTATATGTATTATATTCTGTTTAATTGTTATACAACAGTCTGATTCAATATTAATAAAATCGTTGCCTTTCAAAACTATTGAATAGAGAGCTAAAAAATGATCACCATCATCATTGTGAATAGGTTTGTTTAAATCAATACGACCCTTTTTAACTTTTATAAATACCATTTATAAAAGTAAATTTATTTTTACTTAAAAAAATTTAAATCATGTCTTGTTTTCCCATTCTTTAAAAATGTTTCACCATTATAAATAAGATTAAATTTTGTTTCCGAATTTGTATTATAACATGTTATTTCGTTTTCTGTAAATTCATTTGTATATCTATCTGGTAAATTTAACATATATTCATCGTTTAATACAACTGATAATCTTTTTCCAAACTTTGTATCAATCTTTATGAACTTATTTACTTTGTATGGTTTTCCTTGTTCCAAATAATTACATTTTATAAATGTATATCCATTGTTTATTTTATTTAAAGCATCTTTAAAGTTTTCCATTTCTATTTCTTATTTATATTAGAAAATAAAAAATTTTTTTATTTTCAATAATTTTTTTAAAATTTTTTCATTATAAATATAAAAAATGAGCGAAACTATATATTGTTTTAAATGTAAAATTCAAACAAAAAATATTAATGCAACTAAAATTCAATCAGTTAATGGTAGATGGAGAATTTCATCAAAATGTTTCAAGTGTAACACAAATAAAAGTAAATTTATAAAAAATTCTACAATTGGACATAATATTTCCAATAAAAAATAAAATGATACAGATAAAATGAAATTAGCTAAAGAACTTCATAAACCAGTTAGAAAAAAATTTCCTAAACCAAGAATTTTTACTAAAGGTATTGATGATTTATGGGCTGCTGATTTAGTTATAATGAGAAATTATTCTGATGAAAATGAGGGTTATTCTTATATATTAACTGTTATAGATACATTTTCAAAATTTTCTTGGGCTTTAGAACTCAAAAAGAAAGATGGAATTAGTGTTTCAGAAGCATTTCAAAAAATAATAAAACAAGCTATATCACAAAATCATCAAGCACCAAATTTACTTCACACAGATAAAGGTTTGGAATTTGAAAATAAACATTTTAAAAAAGTTTTGCAAGAATATGAAATTAAAATGTATCACACCAAAATTAAGAAAATCATCAATTATTGAAAGATTTAATAAGACATTAAACATGAAAATGAGATTAAAATTTGAAGTTACAATTCAAAAAAATGGATTAAATTTTTACAAAATTAATATATGAATATAATTTCGAAGACATACATCGATCTATTGGTATGAGACCTTGTGAAGTAAATAAATCTAACGAAGATGTTGTTTTTCACAAATTATTTTCTACAAATGACAAACCTAAACCAAAAATTAAATTTAGTGTAGGTGATAGAGTAAGAATAACAGCTTATAAAAAAACATTTGATAATAAATTTAATAAAAATTGGACTGATGAAATATTTATAGTTAATGAAATTTTAAACACAATTTATATTACCTATAAATTATAGATTTAAACAATAAGAGATTATAGGGAGTTTTTATAACGAGAGTTACAAAATCAGAATTTTAATAATATGACCTAAGTTAAAGGAAGTGATATCTATATAAACCTGCTTCTATTATTTAAATAGAATTTTAAATAAAAATTATTTTTACTGAAAAATGAATGTAAAAAAAATAATAAAGAATATAATAAAGAATGGATGGATTAAATAAAATTGAATCTTTAATTAAAGAAATTGATACTTACAATAAAATGGATGTATTAAATAAAAAAATATATCCTGCTAAAACTTGTGATAAATGTAATTTAACAATTGGTTACAAAAGTTGGGCTTCACATTTAAATCTATTCGTCATCAAAAAATGATATATCAAACAGTTTACCTTGTAGACTTAATACAAAATATAATGGTGTACCAATTAATCAATATAGACTAAAAAATTTTAATTTTTTGAAATTATGCGAAAAGAATAAAAAAAAGTATACAAAAAATAAATGTTATATAAACTTTGTGCTTTTGAATACTATGAAAATTCTAAGAGTATTAAATATAATCTAAATGAAATTCCGATTGAAGGAAATATTTTTATTATTAGTCAAGGAGATGTTGATTTTGGAAATGGAAATCCTTATATTTCTAAACTATTACATTCACCAACTTGGTTAGAACTTTGTCATATAGCCAATGATCAAATTATTGCAACAAGTGATTATAATCACTATTATCTAGACAATATTAAGATTGTTCAAGATTTAGGAA